CTTCCTTCCTTCCTTCCTTCCTTCCTTCCTTCCTTCCTTCCTTCCTTCCTTCCTTCCTTCCTTCCTTCCTTGATGAAATTCTCTTCGTAAAGTACATTGTTTATAAATATGTTTCTTGATACTTTGTTTTCATAATTAAACTTTTATTCTTAGAAATTATCTTTTTTTTCTTCTCCATGTCTCTTCTAAATGCAGGGGATTACTATTGCAGGAGAACAACAGGTTTTCAGAAGCACTGCATTACTATAAATTGGCTATTGGAAGCAGACCTACTTTAGCCTGTAAGTAAAGTTGCATACACTGTTCTTTCCCATTTGTGTTGTATTATAAATAAAGCTATTAGATGGAAAAGCTGTAAGCTGTATTTAATTCTGTTGTATGTGAGCAGAAGTTTCTGCATGGTTTGTTCCAATATATTTGATAAGACCTGGGCCATCGTTACCATAATGCAGAGTGAAGAATCTGTACTATGGTAAGGTAGCTGACCTGGGAAGTTATCAAAGGGCTGTTAGAAAAATATGTGCTAGTAAGGTTTTCTGCCTTAGATGCCACAGTAACATGATTGATTTTGATTTGAGGCAAAGGAAGCTGAAATATGCCTAAAGATATAGAAGTTGTCTCATTCAAATTTATGGCAGTGACAGAAATGAGCTTTTGGGGTAGATCTCTGAAAGCAGGTATTCAAATCAGATGGAGTCTGGTGTAGATTACCCTGAGGAGGAAAGTTTAAGAAGCACTTAAGGGTTGACTCCTTCAAGCCTGAAGTTTGATAAAAGGAACCTGTTATTTTCTTCATCTGATTACCAACCTTTTAATGACAAGGTCAGTAGCTAAACCAGGATATTAGATTATAATAGAACAAACAGATGGTGAAACCAAGGTGTAGAGAAATAGAACAGTCATGTTACATGTTGTGTCAAGGCCTTGTATGTGTATACTTATATGCAGAATCTTCTGATGTTTGAAAGACCCATGAATGAATGAGGAGTCTCCCAACATTCTCTTTGAAAAGTTAAAGCCTGTGACTTTTGAAAGATCACTATAGTACTTAACTGACTTTAATTGGTTCTTGTTCATGTTTAAATGAAAATTGATGAGTCTAACATTTCCTTCTCTAGAAAGAGAGAGCTAAAGATGTCATACTCAGACAATAAAGTAACTTGTCAGTTCTGCATTCTCCCCTCAGCTCAGATCCAAAATGCTTTAACTACTACAAGATTACCACTTCCGGTGAGGCTGGAGAACTGACACCTGCGCTTTGTGGGAGACATTGCGGCCAAAAGGCAGCTGGATGTGGGTTCCAGACTGCCCATAATTCTCTCTGGGTAAAAGAAAGATCTTGAGATTACCCCTCATGCATTCTGGATAGCTGTTTGGGTTTTTTTTGGGGGGGGGGGGTAAGTCGGCAGCAGAAACTATTGCTTTTGCAGCCACTTGCGATCAGCTGGAAGTCGTGGGTTTCATCATGCTCTGAGCCATTAATGTAGCCTTTTTAAGGACTTAAAGTTTGTTCAAACCTCATCTTTTTAATCACCTTGGAGTTATTTTTTTTTTCTGACTGTTCCATTAAGATTGAAAAACCTTCAAATCTGCAAGCTGGACATTCACTGAGTGAGATCTCTTTAATCCATTTAAAAAGAAAGAAAATTATGTGTTTCCAGCTTGTAAGATCTTTATTTTTTGTAATATATAACAAAAGGGGAATTATAGTGTTGTTCTTTCGAAAGTTTTTAAATGCTAAGGATTTGGATGAAATTGATTTAAAGAAAGACTTGGAAGTTAATTAAAAAGATCCTC